ACTTCGCTTTGCGAATCTGCCGACCGTGGAATGCTCTTTCTGCCGATTTAGTCTTGGCACCCACGGTGTCAGACTTTAAGACCCGCTTGGACTGTCATCTGGCCTAGTTGCACCGGGATATTCCCTAATATAAACTACCTTCTACTGGATGGAATTTCTTTCTTTTTTTCTTCTACCTACTTCTTTTCCAAAGCCGTTTCGGAGGGCGTGGTGGGATGTCACGCTTTGAGCCGGCGTGCATTCTGTTTAAATGCCGCATAAGCCAGATGAAGCTACGGCTAACACGCGAGTCCAACCCGCATTTCATTAGACCCGACCCGAACTCTTTTTACTCTGTGGGTCATGCAAAGCTCGAGCTTTTATTGCCATCAAATACACTGTTCCAATAACCAAATTTCTAACAAAAATTTCATCTGATGCATCTTGAGGTCCTCTGGCTCACCTGCGTCGCCAATTTGAGGTGACGTATCATATGGGTACGTCCCTTGACTGAAGTGCGGGCATCGTGTCTGACAAATCGGTGTGAAGCAATGTGTTTGGAGCACGTATGAGAAATGATGCTTAGAGTCTGCGAGATGGACGGGGATCTGGTGATGTGTCCGCACTAATTCAATCTTGTTCAACGCTTTCCTATACAACGAGAATGAGAAATCTTGCATATGCGCAATAGGATACCTCTCCGGGGCGGTGATAGCGTTAACTGCCCGATACTCCACACGGTTTCCAATCTCCAGGTTTGTTCGTCGGGACCATATATAGGGGCGATGCCTACGTATTGCTGGCTAGACGTATTACGCTCAACTGTAACTTGGTTGTATTCTGCCTTGGCTACGGAATGTGTATCGGGCGCTAATCGCCGTGGTCAATGGATTACCCGACTACTTGTTGTTGTTATCCTGTGAACGATCTCGTGCTTAGCAACACCATATTGACACCTGCGCTTCGTTATGCTGTTGAATTCCTGTAACAGATCCAACTACGTTGGAATGATTCGAGGTAGGACAGCCTATGGCTCATATACATAATGGAACCTTTAAAGCCAGCCTGTGTTAGTTAAGTTAGCCTATTGATAATTTGACAACGTTTGTGATCGATAATGCCGTGATCCTGAGCGAATTCGAGGCCTAGGATTACACCTGGCAATTTAGCTACAATGAAAATCCTAGGAAGAGGCCAATGGAGACAAAAGTACAACCTAATAGATCGTTCTCCTTAGTTACGTATTGGTGTGTCGTTTGCTGCCTGTAGGCTGTATACCGAACAATGTCTTAGGTCCTCCATATGTGGGGTACCACACTGACTTGAGGGCCAGTGTCTACGAGAAATCGGATGTCAGATCTCACGTTGCGTAAGTGGATGAGGCGACCGGGCCTGCATATGCTAGCTTGAGTCATCGCTTTTAGGAGCTGGCATGTTCGTTTCCCGAGTTGGAAAATGCACACGGTTTCATGCATTTCTGAGCCCTGTTACGGAACCTTCGGTGACATCAGCCAATGTCACGTGAACGACTAACACTCCGAGTGCGCAGTTGGTTAAATCGAGAGTTGCGTCTTCGACTAGCGATTTCAGTGAAGGCCAGTTGTTCTTGCAGGGTGTGCACGGCTTTTATGAGTAGATCGTCAGATGCAGGAGGCGATGAAGTTTAGATTGTTGTCGCTTGTATCTCCATTGTTTTATCAGCCAGTCTTTCAATTCGATGTCCTGATGAGCGTTAGCCAATATTGCTGTATATGGGTTGGGCGCCGTTATAAAAATACATTTTCTTGGAGGGTTGCCTGGCACTAGAGCTTGCACGGCTCGCAGTAGTTTCGTAGGGGTGCGATCGCCTAATTGTTCTTCATTAAGTGGACGTTGCACTATCTTGCGCTCACTGCTGCTTAGCTTGCGAACTAACAAGTTGGTACGTAGGACTTGTCTTCAGTATATCGTGTGCCAGGAGCAATAATTCTGGTGGGAGTCTGGAAATGACATGTTGAACCTTCAGGACATCGTTATTTATGCGAGTAATTTTTCGAAAAATGACTCGACTTGAAGAAAGCAACATGTTGGTAAGCAACTAGTAGATGCGGTGTTTCCTTCCCCTGGTTTCTGCTCGGTCATATTCGCGTAGCTGAAAGTAATCATATACGATGTCAGCGTCTACGACTCACCTAATGCTTTGGGCTGAGTCAGAAACACCGAGCTCTCATCGTTTTCATCATCATGTAGGAGCTCTTAGTTTGGTGTGGTCAATGCTGCCTCGAGCAGATTACCTTTGCCATCCATGCCCTTCTCTCTTGGCGCTCCGTTAATAGTGTCGTAGCGGCTGAATTCCTTGGTGATCAGTGCAGTGCATTGCATTTCGTGCCGGCTTATTCGTTTGTCCAGCATACATACAACCTTTAATGGTTTCCTTTATTGCGTACGGTTGCCCAGGACAGCCATTAGTGTGACTGAAGTGTTGACATTTTGGACTAAGGATAGTAAGAAGACTGAGGCGGGGCTGTGACCGGCCCGCGTACATATCGAGTTTGTGTGGAGGAGGAGAAGAATGAAGGAATGTGCGCACGTGCATATTCGTTTCTTTGTACTCGTTCACAATTGAGTACTTTCGTGACAACTCGAAATAGAATTTCATTTTAACAATCTCTTCTTGACACTACCAATGCGCATGCACCTGAACAAAACGACTCAAGTCCTTTCATTAATATGTCTTTCCGATAAGCATCTGTAGGTGTACCTTGAGTAGATGAGCTTGACCTGAGGGCTTCCCAGAGGCCACTGCACTAAAACCCCCATGACTTGTGTCCATGGCAAAACTGAAGTACCAGTAGGCGGTAACTGACCCCCAGAAACTTCAAGCTTCCATGTTTTTTCTCAGTCAATGTTACTTGCCTTTCACTAACTTTACGCTTGCATGCCGCTATGGGGTGTATCATGGACCAATCCTATGCGCCACTTGAATGACGGCGGGTCACAAGATCCGGTTGCAAATCTCTGCCTCTACCTAAGCGGACCGAGCCTGCTAAAGCCCCACACAACCCTTCCCACAAAGCGATCGCTGTTATGATGGGATAATCGGCGTCTGGTTGTCGCTTGTTATTTTCTCTGGTTGAACCCGGTAACGGGCCACTCGATTGTTGCTGCGCAGTAACCAGCGGTTGTGAGCGATTATGATCCAGTTGACATTCGTGCATATCGCGGATTATAGCCACAGATCAATTTACGTAGAGCAGGAGCACGACGCGTGGTCCCATACATTGCAGAGGACTCCTGCTCAAGGATTTACCATTATACCCTCGAGCTCCAAAGAGTTCCCGGTCAACGAAGTGCAGTGCCAACAATTTATACCATTGATCAGCGTAAATCTGCGATAGTTGGAAATCACGTGCTTCATTCTTACTTTTCTAGTGCTGGGTGCGCTCGACGTCAAGCAAATCGCGATGTAATGTGTCAGAAAGAACGTGTTTTTTCCATTTTTGACCGAATCTGTCCGAATTATTTATTGCTCATTACTGAACTACCAGCACGACACCTGTTCTTCCCAAACCATAGCTGCTGAAGATGTTTGTTCGTTTTAATTGTTTCAGTGAATTGTGCGATGCCGACTGGTAGTGGCGCAAGCAAACCTTCCTAGGTCGTGTATGGTGCCCGAGAAACTATTCCACGGGAGCAATAAGGGGGATACTCGGTACGCAAGACATCCTGATAGTTTTGTTCGCCGGAGGGCTGATTTAACACAATTGCCAACCGAGGGAAACGTTTGATACGCCAACTTGCGAAGTTCATGGAGAATCTGCAACGAACCAGGGCATGATCAGAGTCAACTCACTTGTTCCAGAAGCAGCGACAATCGAGAGTTGGACAATGCAACCTGAAACTTAAGTAGATGTGATCTATTTGAATCCATCGTTGGTCAGCTATGCGAGGAAGCCATGTTTCATGTCGACGCCTATTGTGGCTAAGTCAAGTGTTGTTAAGAAACTGCTGACGCTCAGCACGTAACAAACACTTGTCATTGTCTGTGCGTTCACGATAACGAAGTTTTCCAATTGTGGCTCAGCCCTTTAGAGAGAACGATACCAACTCTCGCCTGATGATTTATGGTTTCCGCATCAGGGTTTCTGGAACTGTGCATACTGTAACGAAGGACAGACTGAGCGCAGTTAGTTCGATAATCACCTGGAAGTCAGTGTTCCTAGTTTCGTAAATCAGACTGGTCGACACTGCCTGTACCTGGTGTGCGAGGATGTACAGTCTACCGATGTGTCTGTTTCATAGTATGATCGTTGAACGTCAGCTGAGAAATAGCAGTTGGTAGCGCAAATTTGTGATGTGCGAATTGTCCCGGTGGAATGTTGCTGCAGGAACAGAAGTCCTGTGCTACCGAAGTCTGTTACTTCAGGCATAGTTATCCTACCGCGTAGGTTGCAGTGATTGCTGATTTGGCTGCCGTAAGATCATTTCCTACTTTACTCTCTCTGAACATCAAGGATGGACCGGATTGTTAGGTGAGTCGCCTCGAACACAGTAATATAATCAGGCCGTTGCTGACGCTAAATCTCATAAAACATGTATCCATCTATCTCGTTTCGCGTACTTAGCCCATGGTTCGAATTCAATGGCCTTAGTACAGCGACTGTTATTTATGAGAGGGTTATCCGGTTCACCGAGCCGGGCATTTCTGATGCAGACGTTTCGTTACCAAGCTAAGTAACATCCTCAGTGCAGCTATTAAGCCCTGATTCGCGGAGTCTCGGATCTGGCAGTGATTTACGATACTCCTCGTATCAGGACTTGATAGCCGCACTGAGGATGTTGCCTGGCTTGATAACGAAACATGTCCAACAGGAAATTCCTGGCTCGGGGAGCAGGGCAACCCTCTCATCCACACCCCGAACTACAGGTATTCTCAAACACTGTTATTAAGGTCTCCGTCAGCTATCATTTGAATAAACCTACCTGACTGTTTTTCGATTGTGATTCATCTGTGACATTACGCTCTCGACCTTTTATTTCAGAACCTCGACCCTTTCAGTGCGAACGCTGTGGTGCATCGTTTATTCGGAAGGACCGTTTGCAAACCCACATCATATGTACTCATACAGGTAAGTGCATCTCTGAAGACATCGTTTTAATCTGATTTGGTCATCTGGATTACACCCTCGTTAATATCTTGTAGCTTCCGTGTGATAAACCACACTGCCTGTAACTTGTCTACCCAGATGTGTCTTTTATGCGGAGTACTGCATATTTTCCACCCAGCAAAACAAAGACGATTTCTAAATCGCCGTAGCGAGTGTTTCCTGCGGAACTAGATAGCGTGCTTGTGAAAGCAGTAGATAATAATCTTTGCTTCTTGTACTCAAGTCTCAGTTCGACTATCTCTCTGCCTTCATAGTGCACTTGTGCGCAAAACGGGTCGCGGAGTGCAGTGTTCGCCGTGAATATCACCGAGCTTCTACCAACATCAACTTGATTTCAACCTTCATGTGACCCTAGACGTCATAAGCTATTTGTGCTAATCTCTGAGTAAAACAATTGGTAGATAAGGCTGTATGTCCTCCGCTTAGTCAAATGCAACGTTTTTGGTCGTTGTCAATGGGAAACTTCTTTGGAACAGGCCATAGGAACAGGCGTGAAGCACGATTGTTTCGGCGCCACACTACTTTGGCTCGCACGTCAATGATGTAAAAAATGTGGGAATTCGGGCCTTCAGGTGCGTGGATGTCTGTGGCTTGACCATCAGTGGGATCCATACTGGAATTAGTCTCTGATCCTAATACTCTCACGAAGACCGAACCCATTTCTCATTTTTTCTGCTTGATAGGTTTTACAATTCCTTCGTTCCCGCGATGCTGCTGTGTGGTAGCGCGTGGATGGCACGCATTGGCTTTCGATAATGAGTGCTGGTCGGCCTTCCTCAGGCCTAGCCACCTTTCGTTCCACGCGACTTTTTAGCTGGGGACCAATGGATTATTGTCATGGAGGTGAAACCAGTAAAGATCCGTGTTCATAATAGTCTCGATTCAGTTGTTTAGTGTTGCGACCTTTATGTGCGACAAAAGGAGGAAACGGCACGGGAGAAAAACCGACGTTCGTCTTCCTTTCTCATGATTCCCAATGGCTGTGTAGCAATTCTTTAGACTCTTACTCCCTCAGAAACGATTGGCTCACTTACTTAGCTGTTATTCGATTTGATGATATCCGAAAGCAAAAACTTTGTGGATGTTCATATTGAGCACAACTAGACATAGATTTTCACGAGGTAAGCTGTTGGAGCATCGGATTTCGCCTGTGACCTCGGGAATGTTTGTCCACTGTATGGCTTTTTGTCATCCTATAAGTATATGAACTGAGTCTTCAGTCACCGGTACCCAACATATGCGAAATCCTTATCTAGCCCTGCTGCCTTGTTGGTTAGGTTCTTTGACCAAACGCTTGCATTTGTGGCCCCCCGGGGCAACCTGCTTCGTTCTAGGCTTACTGGCAAACCATGGAACCACATAGTGACGCATTCTCTTTCACTGCCGTGATGGTCTACAGTCCCCTGCTGCTATATCAGCGTTTCCCTAACACACATCACGAATTTGCTTAACCTCAGGGATCATTTACCCCTATTGGTACCTGATTCTTCAACGGTGACCAGCCTTACGTCCATCGATGAGTTTGTTCCCATGATATCCGTCAACTCCATCACTCTGTTCTCGACACTAGTCGGTCGAGTAACCATTGCAAACCATGAATGGTCGCCGAACAATGCGGAACTCGGTTTCACTGTTACCTAGAAGGACCTAGATGCCGAAACGTTGGTACCTTTCTAACTCTCCCACCAGGGCCTACTCGATCGCAGAGTGCAAGCCAAGTCAAAGTAAGCTTTATATGTCCGAATGGGTACATTTTCAGCACTTTACAATATAGACTATTTTGTACAGATGTCAGTTGTGTAAACGGTCAGTATAAACAAGCAACAAGTAAACCTTTCCGGATTGAATAATATAAGGCTGCATTCTGTTTATAGACCAATGCCACAAACTAAGTTTCAACACGGTACGGTCTATCTTCATTATGTTTCCCATCCCGTGGCGTGTATGTTAGAACTGAATATTCACTTTTCACGGATGCATAAAGCACATTGTTGACTTGACAACTAACAACCGAATTGTTCTCAGGAGTTTGAGTAATTACTTACTCTAGCGATATTTGCGCCGTCAAGTCTATTTTGATGATCGTGTTTTTATATTCATTAGCATGTACTGTTCCTTTTCATTATTTATCCCATTCCGTGACGTGTGCGTTGGATGCATAAAGCACATTCTTGACTTGTCTTGCCTTGGTCAAATTTTAGCGCTAGAGTTCGGCGGCCGTCGAACAACGCTAGTGAGCGCGCAAAGACCCAAATCTTCGAAGTGTATCAAGGTAATCCACAGAATGATTCACCCGAGTTTAGCATTGCTTGCTGCTAAGCTCCAACGGTGTTGTTCATTTTCAGTGGGCGGAACGCATGGCAATATGTTAATATTTCAGCTGAACCGACTGATCAGTTACCCTGTTCGTATCGAATCTTCTATGCTGGTGCAAAAGTCACCACGTTTTGGGATGCAGTCACATTTGCCTCTACAAGGAAAGCATTCTCGGATCCGCAACCTGGGGACCTGCACTGCATATACAATTCCGCCACATATGTACATCCTGTCCCTATGCAACGACTCATGATCTGACTGACAAAAGTGACATCCCCAGCGTTCGTACCGAGTGATGCCAGATGCTGGAATTAGCGCGAAGCAAACAAGTTCATTTTCACCTGTACCCTGCCACTTTTTGCGAAACAAACCAAACCTATTCATAAGGCAAGCATCCTGTGATCTATTTCGGGTGTACCTTATGGGGTGGACTTCTTCAATGCGAATTTTTATACTCTTCCCCAGTAACGGTTATTAGACTTGTGGAATGATTGCTAGAGATCACATCATCAAACGCTTCGTCGCTTTGGCAACCTTCGTATGGAGCGTATCCAAATATGGGAATCGGCACGTAGCATGCAACATCATTTCCGCCGGCACTCCGTTAGGCGACCAAATGTGGCATTCTTGTAATTAGCAACGACCAAGAAATCATTATTCTTCTCCAAGCCCACAAATATGCGTGGTGCATCTGAATTCACTTCTGTTATCATGCTGTCTACAGTTGGTTGAGGCTCAAACAGAAACGATGAAATGCAGCCTTGTCTTCAGTCGGTTTATTGATTCCCACAGGTGTTCTAAGTTCAGTGGCGCATCTGTGTCTGTTCACTGGTATCTAGTCGAGTAGATTTCCTGAGAGTATTATCAACACCATAAATACCTTGGGACATTGACTCACTATTCGTATGGATGCAAGCTGTGCAATTATAGTCGTTGGATTTAGGACGAAATCTTGTTAGATTCAATATAAGTCCACCATCTTGCGAGCTCATTTTGAAGATACGACTCATTAATTTCTAGCAAATTAAGGGTGAGATGTAGCCCTGCCCCTTGTTCTCTCTTATGCAAAATGCTGACATTGAACGAAGCAACGGGAAATTGGAAGCGTGTTTTAGTGAATGTGTTACATGCAACGCTAGTGACAGCTTTGAACTCGACGACAATCTTTGACTGCATAGATGGGGCGGAAGGTAGTTACAAGGTTAGAGAAAGGCAACAAAAACGAGCCTCGGCTATTGGATCTGCAAGCGCTTCTTTTTAGGTACCCTACCTCTGGCATTTCATTCAATTGTTTCATCTACAAAACAATAATTTTGGAGGTCGAAGAAGATATTCATGTGACGTAGATTTCGGTGATGATTTCATCACAACGCCTTTGTGCGGTTGAAACGATACTCCGCAGTGTAATTAGCAAAGCCGGTTCCGTACGGGTTACTTGCAAAGCACATGACAAATTAACTGAGGAAAGACAGCAAGATAGTTTGCACGTTCAATACAATCCCATGAAAGAAACAGTTCGTTCAAACTAACCGACAAAGTTTGATTCAACTGACATGTGCACTGATAAACGGCGCTCGAATACGCGGCCTTTTATGCGACATATTGAGCGAAGGAAAACAGCCGCATGTCTGGAGTGCACGGATTAGTTGTTCCAGCAATATGGTTTGCGCGGTCAGATGTAACAACCATGAGCTACACCCTATTGAAGTTCAATCTGTATAAGGTCACCAACATACGACCTGCATTGTCAGCTGTAACAAACATGAGCTGTACTCACGCGGATAGCTAATTGGGACAGCTGAGAAAACCGACAATACTATTGGCGGTGTCAGTAACGGTGTTAATAGATGATTGTTGGAGTAGTTAAGATGGTGAAACTAATTCTCCGATTGCATGCGGGCTTAATGACCGTGAACAGAGGACGGGGTTGATAATGCGTACAAGGGATCAGGATTGAGACCAAGAGAAGACACATGCGAAGTTGAGATGAAGGGCTTTCAAGGCAGACGAAGAACTGAGTGCATGGGAACCAATTCATTCCACTGCGCGCAGTCGCACTGAGACCACAATAACTCTGGCGGCAATGACCAATCGGTAAACGCGTTGTGTTTAGTATTGTGGAGGGGAAGCGAGATTAACGCTGAAATATGTACTTGTAGTTGTTAATCACCATGTGTGTTTGGACCCGTGGAATGAAACATGTGGCCGATCAGATGCGAGCGGAACAGACTTTGCAATTTGTCTCACCGTGCGTGGCATTTCGTCCGCACAACTGCGATGGTTGCATTTTCCAGTGAATGCCGCTATGGAATAGATGAGGCACCTTCCATTTGCTTTATATATAACTAGTAGGTGTGTGCCAGAACATATGGTATTTCGCTTGGGACATTATATTAAAATCAAGTGGTAATTAAGTCTAGACGCCAGCTTGGTCTTCATTTCGCAATGCTTCTGTTGCTATTGTCAGGGGTGCAGGCGATGAGCAATTTGCTTGTTTCTCTGCAGGACTCACAGGTTGTCGTCGCACTCTGTCCAAATGACAGTAAGGTATTCACACATCTTGCAATTTTGCTTCCGCTGCACTGCCTTTTGTCGACATCGTAATCCCTCGGATCCAACTTCTATCCGTTGATCCCAGTTTCCCC